CAGGATGGGATCAGAGATGGAGAAGTTCTGAAGGTGCTAACAGCCACACTGGGGATGTCTTCTCAGCCCTGGGGTGCTGCTACTGGCTTTGCACCCAAACAACCTTCACCCTGCAGTGCCCTCAACAACGAACGCCAGTGAGGAGCTTTAAAGGGGTACATGATGACAACCAAAACCAATTGATAGTTCTCACTGGAGGCTTCTTCACATGCCTGTTCGGGGGCCCAGCAGGGTTGCTCAGAGGCAGTGGAGGTCAGGGCGATGACGCCCACGCGGGGCGGCTGCTGAGATTGTCTCTCAGGATCTCAAGCCCTCTGAGGCATCAGACAGTGAGATGAGCTTGGGAGGTTGTCGTGCTCTGACTGCTCATCTCAGCCACAACACGCCAGCCCAGGGGCAGGGGAGAGTGAATTTCCCTGTCTTCTGTAGCATCCAAATCACTGGCCTGGGGAAATGTGAGCTCAGACTGGGAGGTTCAACCTCCTCTTTCTCAGCTCAGGACCACACTAAGGAAATACCCTAAGCTGCTGCACGAAAAGCTGTCTGGACAGGGGGGTATTGGCACTGTACCCTCAGTGCGGAAAACCTGCTTAGAAATGTCCATGCCTGTAGAGTTACTTGGAGCAAAACTCACTGGCCCCTGGCCTCCAGGGAGCACAAATGCTTCCAGCACAGAGGCAGCCCCATCCCTTGCTGATACCAGGCTTCCTGTCCGAGGTGCCCATAGGGACACCAAGCCCGTGCTGTCAGGAGCATCTTACAGAGGTCCCCCAAGATGTGCTTATTACCAGGACATGCTGCTGGAAGATACACAGAAGCTCGTGCTTGCAGATTGTAATTTTGTTCATGGCTGATTTTCCTATGCAAATGGTTAGAGTCCCCAATTTCACATTAAGTTTTCTCCATTGCTATTTATACCCAGTATTCAACTGAACACAGTGGGTATCCTAGATGGCTCCAAGCTCTTATCCCAACTTCTCTTATTCCACCCGTACCCTTTGCTCCAGTCCTATCATCTCCACTTCAAGGCTCTTCTCCTGCCTGTAAAGTCCCACATGCCATTGCCCTTTCATGGTTGGTGTTGCCCCAAGACCCTGCACCCCATCCCCCCCACTGCTCCCTCTCCTAGATCACTCTGGGCTGCCTAGTCCTGCAGCACAAGGTGAGCATCACCGACAGGGAGCAGCGATACCCTGTGCTGGAACAGCTCCTTGTGCTCCTCTCCGGGACCAGCCCTGCTCCCCTCAGCCCTCCAGCCCAGCCTGCCCGGGGCCGTGCCTGGCATCTGCACCCTGGGATGTCCTCCCTGCCACGGCCTGTCACCCAGCACGGAAGTGATCTGGCAGATAGGACCTGGCTTTCCTCCAGTCGAGAGACTTGCATTTTCCCAGACCAAGACAGGGATGGGGACATAGCACGCCGTTGGCAGCCAGCGTCGGGGGTCAGAGAGACGTCCTGCCCTTCGCAGCTGCGGCTTGCTGATAGAGCAGCTCAGCTGCAGCACCTAACTCCATCCTCACATCTCTCTGCGAAACACCCTCCTATCAATCGAAGCTGGCAATGTAAAGCGGCTGTTAAGGACTGCTCATTTGTCTCTGTTTAAGACATATCTGTACTCAAAAGATTCATAACCACCCCGAAGGCTAGCACATGCCGGCATTCTCCTTTTCCCACTGTCCTGTTTACTTTATCCACCATCTGCCTGCCTTCAGCTCAGGGCTATTTCCACTTTGCTTGTTGTGGCCTGATTCTCCTGGGGATTCACAGGGCTACTCTATAGTTGTTTAATTCATTTGCCAATGATCTGCTCTCTCTTTAAAAATTAATTTACGCTGTGGAGATGACACCTTTCTACCTTACTTTCCCAAACCCAGAGTTTCCAAACACAGCCTATATTTGTCAGCAGTAAGTTGATCTCCTCTTCCAGCAAATAAGTGGATCTCTCTCTTCCCACTCTGGCCAGCATCTGCAGTCTGAGACAAACTTTAAGGTGTTAAATTATTACCCAAGTCAATAGGTGCAAGCCAAACCAAATGTTGAATCTCTCTTTAGTATTTGTTATTGTCAAAGAAATTGAATCCTTGGGCAGCGATGTGCCCTCTGTGTTTAAGGAGTGGCTGTTCACACTGGTGGGAGCTAGAGGAGAGCTTTATTCTGTCTTCAGGACTATGGCAAGAGAAAATGCAGCAGCTGCCCCCGGCTTTCCCACAGCTCTTGTCCATCCCACAGTCCCAGGAAGGCAGAATCATGCAGAGGATGATGCTGAATTATCTTCCATATGGTATGGAAAGAGATGCTACAAAACCATGTCACATTTTCTTTTCCATGGCCCTGTCAAGTCCCAACCATGCCTGGCTGAGGAGCACTCTGTGCTGCTCCTGACTCTGCCCTATGGGTGCTTTCCCTCTCTTCCTGGCCCATTTTCCTCCCCTGCTCACACCACCGCTGGATTTAGACCAGCCCTTCCCATGACTCAGGCTGCTGCTCGCGCCCATCCGAAGTCGCAGCGTGTCACAGGAGGTGGCTCTGCCCTGGGTGAGCAGCCCCTGCAGCCCTGCGCGGGCCGAGCGAGGACATCTTGCTCATGGTGCTTCCCTGCTGCGTGGGGACGAGCCCCAGCACCTGCCATCTCGCCCTGCCCTCCCGCTTCAGAGGCCCCCGGGAAGCTGAAAAGGTTTTTGGAGAAACCTCTGCTCAGCTCAGGAGCAGTGCCTGTGCGGCCACCACACACAGCGTCACATCCCTAATCCGGTGCACATGTGTGCCCTGGTCCAGTTTTTCATGCCAACAATTGAGTCCCCAGACACAGAGCTTGGGGACCAATCCTGTGACTGGCTCTGCTTTTCTAAAGATAGCTGAAGAGTTTCACTCCGAAAGGTTTAAGCGATGCACCTGAAAAATGCTGGGGATCAGTGGAGTCTCCCCTTCCAGGCTGAGCAAAGCATTTGGGCTGGTTTGCTGCCTTTTTCACTTGACAGAGAAGCAGCAACAGAAAGACAATTTGGAGGAAATCTATAATGGACTTTTTTTTTTTCCCCTCTCTAATGCTGTGGCTTGGCCCTTCAGCCAGAAAAGTCAATCATTTGCCCATCTTTAATTCTACAGATAGAGATATACTGGCTGAAGACCTTGACTTAAATTACCCCCTGAAAGCAGCAGCAGAGCTGCATCCTGCAAGCAGTGCTTGGCAGTCCCGGGCTCGGATGCAGGGCTTTAGAAAATAGAAGAGAGCCAAAATCTGCCCGATCTAGAGACCACACTTGCAAGGGAGCTGAAAACCAATTCCAAGCACAGATATTAAATGAGAGGGAAGGCGACGAAGTGGTAACAAAGCCTTGGGGAAGGGGCATGATGTGTCAGTGTCTGGGTTCTAATGCTGATGGGGAGGGGGTGGTACCAGGGGCTCCCAGTGGGGAGGGTGGGTGGCAGGAAGGGCAGAGGTTCGGGCTGTCCGTGGAGGTCGAGGATGCTCCTGAGAAGCTACAAGCACATCCCACCCCACACAGAGGGTCCGTGAAGGAAGCAACTGAACCACGAGGGCCTGGAGTGCCCATGCCCGTGCCGGGGGGCCATTCCCTACAGCCCGCAGGCTGCACTGCTGCAGGCTGCTGGGCCAAGAAGGACTGGTCCCTTTGGGGCTTGCTCCACAGAGCTTGCAGGTGGCAGAGGGGGATTTTACTGGGCAAGTTTTTGCCGAGTGCTTGGTCACCCCTCTGCAAGCGATGGTGATGTCTGCATGCTGGGCTGAGGGCAGGGAGGGGTTGGGTATCACGCAAAAGCAGGGATCTGCTGTACAAATTCACCATGCTGGAGCTGCAGCAAATTACTCATTCTTTAATAATGGTGTTTATTACCTGCCTCTGATGGTGGTTCAGGGAGCCGAAGTGAAGCGGATTCAGCTCCCCAAAGCTTTAGCTCTGCCAGCCATTTTCATGACACAAGAAACTTTTGCTGGAGAAATGCAATCACTACATTTTGTCTTGGGTAATTCCTTCTCCTAACAGCCTAGAAAGTAACCAGCTATTATCCCCCAGAGACCAAGGCTCATTTTTCCTTGTGCGTTGCAGGCAGGCTCAGACCCCACTCCTCTGGTTATCCCTGCTATTTGCATAGTGCTACCTTCCTCCTGGGAAAAAGGTTTCTACTGGTGGCAGATCCCAAGCTCATGAAAAGGGAATTTATTTTATTCAGAAGCAAAGCAGGCAGCCCAGTAAAGTGGGTTTGGGGAGAGCAGCACGGCTTTTGTGAAACCTGCAGCAGCTTCGGAGAAGGAATTATAAACAGGCACTGGGCAGAAGCGGAAAACGTTTCCCTTCAAAACTCCTGAACGTGCAGCTCTTCCCCCGGACACAAGCCAGGAGGGCATCCGCAGGGCTATAGGGAGGTGGTGCTGTTTAGGGGGGTCATTTCGTCAGCACAATTCGCACCACTGGCAATAGCCCTCTCGACCAAGGTACCCGGGCCGTTCCCCTGCCCGGGTGCATCCCATGGATGTGCACCCGGGGTGGCCGGCAGCAGGGTGGCTCCCACCGGCAGCGGAAGGTCCTCAGCAGAAGGAAAACAACCCCCAAACTTCAGCCAGCAGCTGAGCTGCCTCCCAGGGGGGGAGCCCCGATGGCTGTCTGGGTCCAAGGTGCCATTGCGGTTGGTCTGACATACCTGGCCTCCAAAACTTTGGTTGAAATCCTTACATTTTGCCCACCTCCAGTCAGAAAATTTTGTCAGAGCCTCTGTTCAGGTAATTTTGTCCTGGTTTCTCCAGGCTGCAGCCTTTCATCTTTACATCCCCCAAGACATTTTCTGACACTCCCCCTGGGACCAACCCAAGCTTGGCGCCGGTTTGGCTTTCCCTGGGGACCCGCTGCCACCCCACAGGAACAGCCTGGGGATGCTGGGACAACCATCCGGACCCCCCCCCCCCCCCCCCCCCCCCGTGAAAGCCACCCGCCTGCCTCCGAGCGGTGATGCCCCCCATCCAAGAGCGGTGCGTGGGTCCTTACCTGCGTGCCAAGGAAGGGCTCACCCACCAAGTTGGAGTGTCGGCGGCAGAAGTGGAGCATCGGCGGCAGGCATGGCCACGGGCGGCAGCGGCTCGGCTTGGGGGGGGGGGGTGCCGCGGCCTGTCACCCGCGTGGGCGTCCGGCGGCCTTGCGGGGGGGCCCGGCCGGGGCGATGGGGGAGCGTTGGGCAGCGGCGCGGAGGAGCCCCGAGCCGGTGCTGGGGTGTGCGGCAAGGCACCCGGCGCCGCACGGGGCTGTGCAGCAGCAGCAAAGCCCTCTAGCTGCAGCAAAACCGTACTTCACGCTCGTGTCCAGAGACCCCACGCTCGCTCTCGCCCGCTGGCTGTGGCATCACCAGCTCCTAAGGCTCGCTAATGAGAGCTGTGCACCGCCACCGCTCCTCTTCTCCCGGCGTGATTTCTTCCTCTGCTGGTTTAGATAATAAGGCAGAAACTCTCTCCTTTCTCTCAGGCTCGCTGCATTTCTCAGGGCGCAGCCCTTCCCGTTCCCCCGGCAAGGGAAAGACCCAGTGTCAGCAAGCAGAGTTTAAAGGAGAAGGGTAAACGAGATTTCTCTGGTGCTGGTGTTGTGGGGTCAGGCAGCCTGGCCTGAGGGCAACATCCCAGGGGGCAGGCAGCTCATTTGCTGGCTCAGCCAGGTATTTTTCTGCTCTGCTCCAGAAGGACCCAGGCGGGATGTTGATTTGCCTCACACACATCTGGGAAATAGTCTGGTTAGTGGAGATAATCCGGATTTACACCAGCACAGCAGGAGCCAGTACCACAGTCCCTGCAGCCCACACTTCCTGCATCCCTCTCCAGCCCAGGTGATGTCCTGGGGAGCCTGTGCTGTCCTCCCACACGTTGGCAGCTCCCCAAGCCCTGCACTATCTCCCTGCTTGCTCCTAATCTCCCTGAGTGCCCCTGCAGCGGCTCCCCCCAGCTCAGGAGCACCCAGCACACGTGGCTGAAGGCTGGTCCAGCCAGGGGGACCTGCTCGAGCGTGGGCAGAGGGCTGCCAGCCTTCGCCCATCCCCAGTGCTGCTCTGCCAGGAGCAGACCACACTGGGCAGACCCAGGTGTGACCGACAGCCACCCATGCCCACCACCCACACTGCCCAGCAGTCACCCCACACCGGGGCCCCGTCGGGACCACGCTGTGGTTTGTCAGCACAAACGTGCTTTCCTAGAGGCCCAGGTTTGTCTCTTAACACCTCCCAGATTCTTCCCCATGCTGAACTGATGGGTGACAGGTTATGTGCCAGGCAGGCGGGTCCCGAGGTCCCATTACCAGAGGGGTTGGGGCTCTGACTAGGGGAGGAGATTGCAGGGCAGCCTCTCCTCTGCTCCCAGAGGTGCACATCTTTCCAGTAGCAGCAAGATCCTTTTGCAAAACCAAAGGGTCTGGATTAAGTGGGCTAACACCACGACTAAAGCGTCTGTGTTCCCTGAAGAACCAGTGACGGGTGACCAGCTTTCCCTCCCTGGGGGTGATCTGCATGTGCCACTGTCAGCATCTGCCAGCAGGACTGGGAACAATGTGAGCCCAAAATGCCAACCCCAGGCTGGGGGCCTCAGCCAAGAGGCTGTCTTCCAGGATGTCAGACAGAGTACAGAGCTGCTGTTATGAACAGAGCAATCCCTAGGGAAAAGGTGTCACTGTTGGCCAGATGCAGCCAGCATAGCTTGAGGGGGGGGTCTGAGAAAGGAATAGTCCATCCCCATGTCCCTAAGGAGTGAAAGAGACAGGAAAGGGCTTGGGATGCAACAAAGGGAATTTGGTATCTCCATCATCCCGGGTCTGTCAGTCCAGGTTAGAGGCATCCTTTGGAAATGGCCTCAGCACATGACACACAGAGGCACAGAGCAGATGACTTGTGGCCCCCCCAGCTTTGGCAACTCCAACTCAACCAAATTCCCAGCAAGTGTGAATCAAAGCCCTGGCAGTGCACACTCCAGGACGTTGGAGTGTTTGCAAGCAGAGCCCAGGTCCCCAGTTCTGCACGGGTGCAGCGGGAGCTGCAGCCCTGTGAGGAAGCAAGGGAGACAGTGGGATTTGTTGTTGCATGGCTGGGAACAAGGAGTTTTCGTGGCAATATCACCTTCTCTGAGTGAAAGTGCCCACAAGGGCCCTGCTCGCACCCCTGGCAGCCTGTGGGGATGTGGTCAGCAGCAGGACAGCCCACCGCCGGCTGCCCTCTTTCCTGGTCCTGCTGTTTGACTCAGTTGTCAGAACGCGTGCAGCCCTGTCCAGCCAGTGTGTGCTAATTAAAGGCAAACAAATTGGTCCTCATCACACACAGACAGCCTTTGGGCAAAGCTGTGGATGTGAAGGGAAAGAAGATGGGGGCTTGAAACCCCTTCTCTCCATGCCATGGGGGAGCCTGAAAGAATGGATGAAGCATCTTCACCCATGGCTTGACAAAGCCCAGAGAGCTGCCTCGGCTTTGCGCCACGCCAAGGTGCCAAGGCACCCGGCAGAAGGTGGGGTGGGCGAGGGGGGAGGAGGGCTGACAGAGGCAGCACTGCCACCGCCGTGTGCGTGGTCACCTCTGCCACAGCCGCCCCTGAGCTGTCCCCGCCAGCCGCTTTTGTCAGCCCGGGGTGGCCGCTCCGTCCTTCGCCGGGGCCGCACACATCGCTGGATTAACATGCAGGCGCTGCGATTGGGGATTAGCCCTCGCCAACTTTTACAGATACACTGCTTAGCGGCAGAGCTGCAGCACTGTTTCTACCGCTTTAGCGATGATAAGGAGACATTAGCATCCCAAATCAAACTCTCTCTGACCTCAGGCAGCTCTGAGAGAAATGTATGCATGCACAGATATTGTATTAGTGCTTATGGAGGTACGCTGAACACCTGCCTGAGCGATGTGGCTTTTATAACTGCAGCCATTCAGTCCAGATTAGAGAGGGGGAACGTCCCTGGGAGGTGACATGAGGCAAAAGGGTTGTGTGACCTAGAAGAGTTGGTCAGAGATGAGCCACCTCTGGGGCACTGAGGATAAGCTGCTGGTCGGAAACTTTCCTGCCCAGAGAAGGAAAAGGGACCTACTCTGAAGGGAGTGCAGCAAAACGCACAGAGCCCACTTCACTGGAATGTCTTGTCATATTTGTGCATCTGCTGGGATGAATGAAAGGAAAATAGATATCGAAATGGCCCTTTGCTGTCAGCTGCAAGGGAGACCTTTGGCAAGAGCCCATGCAGCAGAAGGAAATGAGATCTCATTACATTACATATTAGCTGATGCGCTATTATATTGGACTTGTTATACCAGCTAAATGATGCCCCTCTTCAGAAAATAATTAGAAAAAATGTCGCTATAGACATAAAATACACGAGGAAAAGGTTGTGCTTGTGTTTCAGAGCTGCCTCACACTGGAAGGTGGGCTTTTGTTTTTGATTATGTTCTCTCAAACATTGAAACCTCCCTGCCAATATGTCCTGAGCTTCACATGCTTCATCTAACTACAGACATAGCAACAGATAAATACGCCATGACAAATTTGGTAACATTACTTTATTGACAGCCAAAAAAACCCCAGATCACTTGAGACTGAAAGCCTGAACTCCTGCCAAACAGTTGCAAGCAGAGAGATGAGATGAAAGATTTCGCGCCAGAAAGGGACAGAAACTACTAAAACTATAATAACTGGAAGGCCTCCATGAAGGTGAGGACTCAGCTGCAGATCATCCTCAAAGAAGCAGAAACAGAGAGCAGAGACACAATGAAAGGGAAACAAATCACATTTGAGGCGACTGGACGTTGCTGCTCGCGAGGCTGCATCAGCAGGGCAAGAGGGCATCAGGCAGGACCTGCTCGTCAGAGACACTCAGTGCCCCTTGCACTGGCGATATAAGTGGGGGGGATTTGAAGTACTTATTTATGATGACTAGGGGGAGCGCTGGACAGATTAAAGTTATATTTGCAGCTATTAAAAATTATCAGATTAGTGAAATGTAGAGACGAGAGAGAAGCTTCAGAGGGATCAATCACAGCTAATTAATTGGGCAATGTGATGGGAGAATAAATTAAGCATGGACAGGGAGAAGGTAAAGCATATTGGGAGGAACAACTTCAACTCTCCATAATCACTAGTGGTTTCTAAATTAACTGGAAGCATGAAGGGAAAAAAAAGATGTGGGTGTATCTGTGGACAATACAGTGAAAACCATCTGGTTAATGTACAGTGGTGAGGGAAAAAAACCCCTTAACATGCTGTCAGATTGCTTTCATAGTGGGATACAGAAAATAATAAAAATATTACAGTACTGTGTTGGTAGTGACTCAGCTGTTATGGATAACTTGAGGTTCTTCAATTAGAAGACAGATTCAGATCATTTATTGTGAAAAATACAGTTACAAAAAAAAATAAAGTATTCTGTAAAAGTGAAGCGCCAAGCCTTAGAGCGCAGAATGAAGTTTTTAAGCATTTATGAGGAAATCTGGCCATTTAGGAGGCGACAGTAAGCAAGGCATAAGCTGCAGGTCCCTTATGAAACATGTAACCCAGCATCAGATTTTGTGATGCCTCTGATATGATTAGCACCTGATAACATAAACGTGTCCAACTTCCCGTGTAGTTAAAGCTCCTGAGAAGCCTGTATCTGCAGTATATTTGAATAGCATCCTTCTGGGGTTAGTGTCATTTTTCTCTCTCAGTAAAAGTTGGCTTCTGAGGAGGCTGAAGACTAAAACACTTCAGTGAGAAGAATCCACAGCAAAGTTCCTTCTTGCCCCCTGCTTCCCCCCCTCAGTGCTCACGACCCTAGCAGTGTCTCATACACCCATGCCAAAGCAGGTCTCTCTTCTTCCTCCCCCTCACCAGTGGTGCTGGAGCAGCATTTGGGCTGCCTGGTGCCGGGAGCTTCTCTTTGGCAGATGATGGCTGGGGGAAAGCGGGTGCCTTTGGAAAGCCATCGAGACCACCTGAATTCTGTGGTAATTAAGCTCTCAACTGACATGCTGTGACTAGCCATTCAGTGGGACTTTTTCCTCAGTTCAGCTAAGGGAGCCTTGCTGGATGTCTAAAGTATGTGGCAGCATCTCCAGCTCCTCACAGAGTAGAAAACTCCCATCCTCCTGGACAGTCACTTGGATGCCCATCCCACTTGGGATGACAGGACATGGAGGTCATTATCGAAAAGGGCAAGTCCTCATGAGGGCAAGAGACCTCCGTGAAACCCAAATATCCCCGTCAGAGCAGATGGTCCTGGACAAGATTCAGCCAAGGGGTAGGCTGGGAGAGCGGGGAGCAGTGAGGGATGTACAAGGATGTGAAACAGGGCAAGGAGGGAGAAGGAGGTGGTGTGTATGGGTGCCTGCATGCCATGTAGGGGATGCATACAGGCAAACAGCGAACATCTGGAGGATGAACTGGATAGGGAAGGGAACCCTGTGTGCTGTATAGCCACTTTGCATCGCTCTGGCAAAGCAAAGCAGCTCTAAACCCATAATAGCTGGTCCATATGCTTCGGCTGCTTTCACCCGCAGCCAGAGCCTTGTGGCAAATATAGCCATGAAAGATAACAGTCTCTTTAAAAAAAAAAAAAAAAAACTGAGATGGTGGGACTACCTGTGTTTTATGGATG